GTCCTTAAAATAAAAAAATAAGGGTTCACTAAATGACCACAGTGGTAACCAGTAATAAGTGATTGAACTGAACTTAGCGGTTATAAATAAATAAATAAACCTTAAATATAAAAATAAATAAGAAGAGAGAGGCAACAGGCGCCTTCATAAAATAAAGAAAATACATATACAGGGTGTCCCATTTAAAACAAAGACATAATTTTGAGTCACATTTCGGATATGACAGCTCCCAGTGCAAAAATAGTTACGATATTGGTTTGTATGTAAAATGCTCTACGGGACTGAACACACATCTTACTGGAAAAGTAAAAAATGCAACATTTTCAAATTCGCCCTGTATTTCAGAAACCAAGAGAGCTAGGACAAATCTGTGTGTAGCATTTTTATTTTCATAAAAAGTTGCACAGTGATGTTAAAACCGCATCTTTGTATCTTTGCTCATAAACCAGAACCACCATGAACCAAACGAAATTGGACAACCTGTACATATTGGCATTGTTTCAAAGATATATTTTTAATTATTTAATAACTTAAAATAGACATATTATATGTAGTAAAATATGAAATATATTAGGTACTTAATAAATTAAATATACTGCCTACTAAATGAGTTTCTACTATCTCCAGACAAATAAATAATATTTATTTTCTGATTAATTTAGAAGCTGTTGAAATTAAGGCAATAAATTTCTCGTTCTGTTACTTTATTATTTAATTATCCAAGTATCTACCTAAATAAGTTACAGAAGAGCCTAGAATGAAGATTGAATTTTACTTTGTGGATCGTAAAGAAAAAATGCCGATAAAATGACTCATAAATAATAAAAAAAACGGATCGGCTTTTTTTCTGATCGATTATTTGAACATCAATCCTAATGAAAAAAAAATTGGCATTTCAGTTGACAGTACCACAATTCCAGGTGGATAGATTTACTTACTTATCTTATATAAGCGAATAAAGCTTTTTGAAATAGTAGGTTACCCTACTTACCATATAGAGAGTATCCCAGAAATAAGTGCAAGTAATTTAAGGGGTTAGGTTAGGTTAGGTTGTCAAAAGAAACATTTTTTCTCTTTACCGTTTTTCAAATAAGTCCAGAATAACCAAGTTATTTTACTTTGAAAATTTCCAAAAAATAATATTTTTTGAGAACCACTGGATCTTATCTGGATTTTCTTTCATGTAAATTTAAGCTACTACCTATGTTGCCATATTATCAAGAAGTTATGTTTTTAACTTACAACTAAAATAATTTCCAAAAAATTCCAAATTTTCAAAAAAGTAGATCTGGACAAAAGAAACATATTTTCTCTTTACCGTTTTTAAAATAAATTGATAATAACCGAGTTATTTAATTTTGAAAATTAAAAAAAATGGCAACATTTTGAGAGTCGCCTGCAGCAATTGATAATCAGCCGCAAATATCAAGCAATTACTTTGCAGAAAATTACTTTGCTATTATTGCAGAAAAGATTCTAAACTTTTTCGGCGCCCGAACAAGTGTTGACACATCGACTAGAATGATTTAAAAACGACTTGGAAAATTCAAAATAATTTTTTGACAATTTATGCTCTTCTGTTTTTCTGTCTCACACTCTTTTCGCATATAAACACCAAAATAATTGATATTTCTATTTGAATAATAAAAGTATTTTAACAGGCTTATCTTACATTTGCCTAGGCCAATCAAATTTGAGGGTTCATTTGGAAAAAAGTGTTGGAAAGCTAATTATGGTCTTGATTTGTCCAGTTGACATGAAAGATAAGTATCTTAGTTTTGCACGGTTGCTCGACCGCCGCTCGACTCAGGAAGGCCAAAAGATGGTAAAATTCTTGGACTTTTTTCAGATTTTCGCCTATAGTTCCGAAATGTTGCGTTCTATCCAATATTTTATTATTATAAAAATTAAAGACATTTATCATCAATTTTAACATCAATTTATTCAATTCGGTCCAGTAGTATCGCAGAAATTAAAAGATGAAGAATGGTGATATTTACCTATTCTGCTGATAAAGGCATTAAAGTGACATTCAAACGTTCGTCACACGGAAACGATCATTCTAAATAAAAAGCCATACAATAAAAGTCACAGAGCATCAAATTAGAATTTTACATCAAATAATATTCAGTAACAGTTTAGCAGTCGTACGATAAGGTTGTGTTACCGTTCGTGCGTTTTGTCTGCCGGTTATTGAACGTTTGTTTTGTTTTGATTTGACTTGTTTTGATTTGTTTTTGTTCCTGACCCGAAATCAACTCTAAGTTCACTGTTCGTTTAAACTTGACTTTGTTTACTTGTGTTAGTTTTTTGCAACCTTAATTGATAATTTTTCGGCGTACTTGTTTCCGCTGTGCGTGAGTTTTAGCTTGTTTATACTTCCGAATTTTATTCAGCTGTCATCGACTTTTATTAATATTATTAATCATTTACATTATTATGGCTGAATTTAAGTGCGATTCTTGTCAAAAAATCCAAAAGGACAGTTATAAGGTTCGCTGTAGTGGAGAGTGTCGAAGAAGTTTTTGTATGACCTGTACAGGACTGGATAAGGCAACAACAAAGATGCTATGTCAACAAAAGTACCACAATGTTAAATTTTTCTGCACTTTCCCTACATTAAAATATGTTCATGATAGAATAACACAGCTTCAAGAATGCCAACTGGTCGAAAGAATGGCCCAACCAGAAATCATCGAAGCACTAGGATTCTGTTTAAAAAAAAAACATGGACATTTTTCCAGTCATAACTGAAATAATACTTATTATTAGTATGACATGCTGAGTGACCACGATTCCAAGTGGAAAATTTTACTCAAGAAAATTGATGACATATCCAGGATATCAGATACCACACAAGAATCCTTATTTAAGTCAATAAATGAGATAAAGCAAGACACCTTCAATTTATCATCAATTTTAATGGACAACCATGATGGGTCTGTTAAAGTCCAAGTTCATGACCCATCTAAGGAAGAAATGGCGAAGGAAATGGCTGACCTTAGGCAGAGCGTTAAACAAATGTCGCTCACATTGGAAAAGCTTGTTACAAGGGATAAGACCTGTACCAATCACAATATGCAGCGGAAAAAATCCATTTCAACGCAGACGGGCCCTATAGATCACCAAAATAGTACAGCGAAAAACTTAACTAATACCATATGTCCTCCTCATGATCTACTTTCTTATCTCTCTAATGATATTGTAAACTTACACAGTTTCTTTTTTTCGCCCGTAGTTTTTAGAAGAGCTTCGCAGTACAATTAATACCATCAAAAATAAATCCTCTTGTGGGACCGACGGGCTAACTTTAAAAATGTTTTCGAATCTGCCAGAAAGCACTCTGAATCACCTAACAACTTTAATAAACATGTCGTTCCAAATAGTATTTTTCCAAAATGTCTTAAGACGGCAATAATCATTCCTCTGCATAAAGGAGGAGACAAAGATGAAGCTTCTAACTATCGCCCAATTGCACTCCTTCCAACGCTGTCTAAGATCATAGAAAGGTTGGTTAAAAGAAGGCTGATATCTTTTCTGTTTAAGTACAAAACACTTACTGAATATCAATTTGGATTTCTAAGCAACAAGTCCACAAATAACGCTATGTTTTCCCTCCTTAATAAAGTTTACTCCAGCCTAAACAACCATCATTCTACAGCAACAATTTTCTGTGATTTTTTTAAGGCGTTCGATTGTGTAAATCATAAGATCTTAATTAATAAACTGCAGCACTATGGGTTCAGGGGATCATCTCTCGAATGGTTTAAGTCGTATCTGAGCAACAGAAAACTCCTGGGCGTGCTTCTGGAGTCGAACTATACTACCAGTTAAAATACTGGCACCCATTTCTGGGACACACTGTATAATTCATTAAATCAAGAATAACTTATTTTTGAAAAACTTTCTTAAAATATAACCATTTACCACAATACATAAAATATTGCAGTCAATTATTTTCATTATCTTGTTCGTTTTTTTTATAATATAAATCAGAAATTTTCCATTTCCCTTAATTATTTTCAATTGACCTTTCCTGTTTGCTTTTTTGTTTACACGTTCTGCTTGATTGGTTGTTTGATTAGGACTATTTCGAATTCTGTTTGCTGTCGCAAGATCGTTTTCATTATTGGGGTCAATGTCAAAGGAAACGTTTTAATACGATGAGTTTTTCTCCTATAAGGGTAAATACTTACTATAGCCAGATATAATAACCGTTTTGAAAGAAATAAACTATACAAATATCATAGCAGAATTAATAATAGTTTAGGTAATTATAGGAAAAACTGGAAATCGTCCGATTTGGACAAAAATTGGTATACACCCTATTTTGAGGTCGTAGATTACGAATCTGACCTTTTTTCTGGCGGTCTCTTACCGTCTTTACCATAACTGCTATTTTACCAACGAGATCTGTCTATTTATAATCACCAAGTTGCACGAAAGAGTTTTGATTGCATTGGTTTCAACTTCTTTGCGGAGGGGGATAATCTTTTTTTTTGTTATATTATATCAAAAAAAAATTAACCTCCACCGCAAAGAAGTTTAAACCAACACAATCAAAACCAACACCAATGCAAACACTTGCGTGCGACTTTGTGGTAATATATTTAACTATTGTCAAATCTCGTAATAGGTAATTTATTTAGAATCCATAATCAACCCAAATAAAAACAAGATATGGAAACGTTGCCAATTTTCAAATTTCTAGATTAGATCTAGAATATATTTGTCTCTTTCACTGCATAGGAGAGAGAACTGTCAAACTTCCATCTTGCCTCAATTTTCTTTGTTATTTGGTTAAGAAAAGTGTTTTTCAGTAAAATTTTGGACATTTTTATATCCTCAATCAGATGTGGCTTCTAGATAAACTATAATATAATGAAAATATAGTGAAATTATTATTTTACACGGCTGAAATAAAGAGAATTCGTTCGATCTTTTTCTATAAACAGATTCTCTAATTATTCGTTTTTTTTATAATAAAAAACTACCTGTACCGCTAGCGGCCGCTAATCCTCCTGCTATACCGCCGGCTGCGGGATTCCTCTCGGCTTGCTGCGTCTGGTTCATCATTTGTCTTCTTCTGATACGTTTCCTAGCCGTCTGGAATATCCTCCAATAGAGAATGAGGATGACCTGCGAAAAGAGTTTTCTTTATAAAATTAGCTCACGTCTTGGGTTATACAGCCGGCAAAAACAAGCTTGTTTGTCTTCATTAAGTCCAAGATTTGTTTAAGATTCATTAACTTTTGACGGGTTTAGACGCTATTGTTGCGTTTTTGTTTATATAGTTATCGCTAATGGACTGTTCTGTGTAAGGGATAATTATTATGTTAATTATTATTCTTAATATAGAAGCTTTCTTTGCAATTTATTTCGAATAATTTAGATAAATATCGCAATATGTATAGAATGTATTCTATCGTTATTATGTTTGTTTGATAAAGGCATAATATTATTAGTAATATTTCTTATACAATACAGCCTAGAATTTGTCAATAAAAAAAGACTAAAAATTAAAAAAAAATAAAAAATACCACTTTTACACAAAATTACCAAACGGAAATCAAATTTTCAGTGAATTTTTCCTCGCAAAACAAATTTGCCTACCAGACAAAATTATTTAACATTTCAGGGGGTATATCTACCCCGTTGACAAAAGAATAAATACATTATTTAAAATATGTAAATATAACTACTCAGAGAACAATTATTATAAAAATTAAAAACCTTATTCTGCAGATAAAAATAAGTAAAGAAGTTCGTAAAAATGTATGTTTTAAAATGCTTATGAGATACAGGGTGTAGAAGTTTTATTTTAATTTAGATTTTTTGCCAATAATTTTTGAATTAACGCAGATATTTAGATGAAAATTAGCGTCTGTGTGTCAGTATGACTTGTACTTGTATAGGGCACCACCTAAATATTTTTAAATGATTTGAATAATAACAAAAGAAAGACAAAGAAATACATTTCACCATTTTCACCATTTTTACGTAAAAAAACTATCTTGGGAAAAAATTGCTACTAAATGAGCCACAGTTTCTCAAAATACTTGAAATCAATGATCAAATATTCAATGCATGTCTACATGCCATTATTAACAAAAATTAAACCTAATCACTAGATATTTATTTGACTGAAATGATAAATTTGAAAAAAAAACATATATTTTTTCTCAGATTGGTATAATACAGGTACAGATAGAAAGTTATTACTCTTTAAAACAGTTAAAAATTATGTAGGTAACGCCCCTACAAGTTGGAGCCATATTGATATCAAAATCAAATTTCCCATGTCAAAAAACAACCAGACACCAATTTTTATCCAAATATTGACGTTAGTTCAGAAATTATATTTTTATTTGGAAAAAATCATACATACAGTGACATACAGGCTGGCGCACCTCATTCGCCTCGGTTGATTATAGATACGAAAACGAAAAGATGCGGAATCTAAATATTTTATGAGTATATTTGGGAAGGCAATGTGGATAATTTAAAATTATTTTGAAATGTACACGGTATCTCAGAACTAAGATCCACACCAAAGTTATATTTTTTCTTATGGAACACCCGGTATTTTATTTCATATTTGGATCCGTCGATACAAAATAAGGCATTTATTATAAGGGTCAAATATGTTTACAAGCTTTGGTTTTTGAGATATTTAGAGATATTTAAATATGCATGCTATACTAAAAAAGATTGTCAACACCCTGTACATTGCTTTTCAGAATTAATTCTTTTGTTAACTTTTAAGCGAAAGAAATAAACTTTACTGAAAAATTTGATTGCTTCGTTTAATGTATCTATTAAGGGGTATCAAAAATTGCTGGTCTATTTTGAATATTTATTTTACATAAAAACTTTGTTATTTTATATACTTAACCAAACACCCTGTATTTTTTAAAATAAATTGAAGCAGATTCAAACGCTCTGTCAATCTATATTAGGGTTTTCTATGCCTACCTAGTTCAGATTTTGAATGAAGAGCAAATTTTCAATAAAATGGCAACCAAGAGGGCTAGTGTCGTCAAGGCAAGTTTCTAGTGACAGTTAGTAGCTATTTTTAAAATCGATGTTTGTTTATGGACTTTATTTATATTTACACCTGTTTACTTTCTTTAATTTACCTATAATACTTTAATAAATTATATTTATTAAATATGTATTTATTATTCTATCAAGAAAAACGAATATTTAGTTTTTTCATTTATTTTACCATGACTTGTAGATATATACAGGGTGTTTCAAAACAAATGCGAAAAACTTTAGGGGGTGATTCCTTGTTCAAAATAAAGGGTAGTTTGCTTTATAAACGTTGGGTCAAAAGTCAACCATTAGGGAGATATCGCGGTACAAAGATGGCGGAAAATTAATGTTTTTATTTTTTATCTTGAAAACGAAAAGAGATAGACTAATAAAATTTTATGGAAGCATTACTGTTATGAAAACACACTTTCTGGTAATTTTTTCACTTTTTTAAAATGAGTGGAAGGGGTTGAAATAAACTACCCCTATCATTCTTGTTAACGAAATTTAAAGAAAAATCTTATCAAACACATGCAAATGCTTTAATTTGGAAGTTTAGTTTGTTTAGAAACTTTTTTATCTCTTGTGTTCTTTTGATAAAACTCACCGATTTGAAATTAAAAAATAAAATGTAAAGCATTACAACAAAGAACATTTTTAGATTAAGAATCTAGTGATAATAACGATAATAATAATCATCTAGATAATAACGTATTGCAGTAGAGTAATGTCAAATAAAATATTATTAGGAACATCCTAAAAAGTAACAGCGGCCAACTAGATTTTTTCCTAAAAAAATTACAGCAGCCCACTAGATTCTTTATCAGAAAATGTTTTTTGTCCTGACATGTAATGCTTTACATTTTATTTTTTAATTTCAAATCGGTGAGTTTTATCAAAAAAATACAAGAGATAAAAAAGTTTCTAAACAAACTAAGCTATCCAAATTAATTTTTTGCATGTGTTTGATAAGATTTTTCTTTAAATTTCGTTAACAAGAATGATAGGGGTAGTTTATTTCAACCCCTTCCACTCATTTTAAAAAAGTGAAAAAATTACCAGAAAGTGTGTTTTCATAACAGTAACGCTTCCATAAAATTTTATTAGTCTATCTCTTTTCGTTTTCAAGATAAAAAATAAAAACATTATTTTTCCGCCATCTTTGTACCGCGATATCTCCCTAATGGTTGACTTTTGACCCAACCTTTATGAAGCAAACTACCCTTTATTTTGAACAAGGAATCGCCCCCTGAAGTTTTTCGCCTTTGTTTTGAAACACCCTGTATATATTTTCTATAAAAGAGACAATTACGGCAAATTAATTTTCTTCACTTCCAACATGTTTCTGCCCTAATAGGTTTTTTATAAACTAAACTACCCGCTCTACGAAATAGGACAAGTACTTTTTCAAAGGAACGCTTATCAGGAAGATTCCTATTTGGATATCTTTAAGCATATATAAGCCCTTGAGGCCAAGAAGCAATTTTTCTCACAAAATAAAATCACTAGTAACATTCGTTCCGCTAGCAGATACTGCTATATTTTTCTTGATAAAATAATGAATACTTACTTCTTAAACTGTTGTAGGTATTTTTTTTTAAGTAAACTGTTATAAATCTAAAAAATAATATCCATAAACTAATGTCTATTTTGTAAATAGTTACTAACTGTCATTAGAAAAATGCCATGGCGACACCAGCCATCTTGATTGCGATTTTATTGAAATTCATTTGAATCTGTTTCGATATATTTAAAAAAATACAGGGTGTTGAATTTAAAATAACGAAGTTTTTATATAAAATAAATCCTTAAAATAGATCAGCCAGTTCTAGTACCCCTGTATAAATTTCAGGAAGCAATAACATTTTTCAGTAAAGTATATTTCCCCATCCTTAAACTCAGCACAAGAATTAATTCTGAAAAGTAATGTACAGGGTGTTAATCTATTCTATTATAGCATGTATATTTAAATATCTTTAAATATCTCAAAAACCAACGATTTTAAACATATTTAACCCTTATAATTAATGCCTTTTTTGGGCCCAAGAATCCAAAAATTAAATAAAATACCCCAATGCATACTTGTGCGCCTTACCCATTTCATATATCAATAAAATATTTTGTTTCTACTTTTTTTTCTAGGGTGAGTTTCCTACGATGTTCTCTATGGGTATCTCGGAAACTACTGGAGATAGAGAGTCGGTTAAATGGGGAAAGAATTGCAGTTTTGTGGGGTCATAAATATGCGCCTTTCAGATTTTTGAAGAAGTTCATGGCTTACTAGATATTTCGAAAAAAACAAATTTTGGGTATTTTAAAAATTGTGCCTAATTCCATTATAATCTATTTTAGACAATAAGTTTTCCGATAAAAGTTGTAGATAATCACAACCCTAATGAGATTGTGTTCTCCGACTTTTTCTAAAGCCTGTCATTTTTGACATATGACACAAACATATGTTTTATTAAATGGAAACCATAGTTGGCCATGACTTCATACAAAGCGCCATTTTTTAAGCTTTTCAGCGATATAAGCTATAATATTGTTGCGGACCCGTGTGGACTCGACCTAACCTAACTATATGCCCCGCCCTCAGATGACCTTATCATCGCATTAAAGAATAGACACCGTAATGATTCATTCGTTCGAGAAGAATCGAGTCCCACTGGAATGGACTAGTACATACGAGAACATTCGAAAACCCTCTCTATGCACCTAACAATCTATGGACTATTCTAGATTTCTTTTGCTGTAGGTATAAAAGCCGGCGGCTGTGGCCTAGAGAGGGCAGTTATAAATATACCAGTGCAGTTGACGCGCTAAAATTCAAAATAAATTCTTAGTTATAAATCGTTTGTAAATAGTTCTATAAGCCTTTTATTGTTATTGTTTTTGTTAATTAGTGTTAAATAAATAGTGTTTAAATAAATTGTGACTTTCTATCCACACGGAACCGACGAAAAACGTAACAATATGTTTCTTTCGCAAAATTACTGAGTTATAGCCAATTCTTATCTTTCTTGACTAATTTCACTTAGTTAGCTATGGACAGACTACAAGTTCAGTCGTCGTTGCTCTCAGAAATATGAAATTGTCACATTCAATCTTTCTAAATTAAAATAAACAAAAATTGTAAATAAGAGTTTTTCAAATGAAGAAAAGCGTGTAGGATTATTGGTTCAATTTTTCTTGGCCATACAGTTTCGAAGATACGTTGGCCGTTGACCGGTGAACGTTATTTACGTTTTTTAGAGAACGGTTTTCAAGACATGTTAGAAAAGTTAAATTTTGATACTAGCGCATTAATAGAGTGGTTCAAACATGACTTTCATTATGACACACTAACCCCCCCCCCACAATGAAAGAAATGTTAAACATTATTTATATCATAATTATGTAGACTCAGGGATAGAAAGAGGTGGACCAATTGCATGGGTCTCCTCGGTCACTTGACCTATCCATTTTAGATTTTTTTTTATGCGGTATGGGTAACAACAAGGTACAAAAGAACTTATGAATTGAGAGAAGCACTCGAAGAGGCGAAACAGGAGAAGTTTAATTAAGTCGACCGGTCGTTCTGTGAGAATAGCTAGAAATTCAGTTTTAAAAAGATGCATTTATGTAGGTACTCAAAACAATTGCGGATTTTTTGAAAATTTTCTAAAATAACTTGTAGTGATATTATTTTTTTAAGCTTTAGTTTGTGTAATGCAAATTGTAAAGAGCCGTTTAATAATATATTTTGTCTTTTTATAAGTTATAAATCATAACAAAATTAGAACACTATTGAAAACCGTTCTCTAAAAAACGCAAGTAACTTTCACCAGTCAACGTATCCTCGAAACTGTATGGCCAAGAAAATTTGAACCAATAATCCTACACGCTTTTCTTCATTTGAAAAATTTTTATTTAGAATTTTTGTCTATTTTAATTTACAAAGATCGGATGTGACAATTTCACATTTCTGAGAGCAACGACGATTCAACTTGTTTCCATGACTAACTAAAATAACATATGTTTGTGTCATATGTTAAAAATGACAGGCTTTAGAAAAAATCGGAGAACACTCACTCATTAGGAATGTGATTATCTACAACTTTTATCTGAACACTTTTTGTCTAAAATAGATTATAATGGAATTTGGGACAATTTTTAAAATAGGCAAAATTTGTTTTTTTCGAAATATCTAGTAAGCCATGAACTTTTTCAAAAATCTGAAAAGCGCATTTTTATGACCCCACAAAACTGCAATTCTTTCCCCATTTAACCGACTCTCTATCTCCAGTAGTTTCCGAGATGCCCATAGAGAACATCGTAGGAAACTCACCCTGTATATCTTTCCGTTTTCGTATAATGACGCCTGTATATTTATATGAAAATTTTTACCTTATTTTAGTTTGCAGAAGATGTTGCCAAAAATTCCCAAATACAATTCGGAACGACCTGTATATTAAAATAATTTGTACAGAATGAAAAAAAAACAGGAGAGAAAAAGGGGGAAATTAGATTAATGTCATTTCGATGAATATGGCCATAAAGCGACAGACAAAAAAACAATTTGTATCGGATATAAAATATAAAACCTATTAGCCTCAGAGAAAGATAAACGATTGTACGTTGCTTACCAGTAAGGGCAGATAGAAGGACGAAGCGGTGGCGAATATCTGATAATAAAGGTCCTGACTTATCAGGCACTTTTTATCTCGTATCCTGTCGTCCCATTGTGGATCCTTCCAGCCGAGCAGCGGGGCAATACATACCAGAAACGAAACGACCCAAATAATGAATATCATCATGCCTATTCTTTTCGAGGTCCGGTGATGGATGTATTCGACGTTCGTTACTGCCCAGTATCTGGAAATAAAGGAAAAGATAAAAAATGGGTCAAAGACGCTAACTTTTTCAAATTTTCTAAAATAAAAAGTATTTTTTAAATAGAATCTTGGGTGGTGCATCCTATAATTGCCGTAATTAGTGATTATTTCTGTTATTATTAGATTTTTTTTTAATTATTGATATATTCATTTTGTTTCCAAAGTTTTAATAGCAAAACTTAACCACCGATCTATACTAATATATAAAATCCTTAAGTGACTGACTCACTGATTAATCACGATCCAGCTCAAACCACTCAACGTAAGAAGCTCAATTTTGGCATACAGGTTGATTCTAGGGTGTAGAGGTTCGATACGAAGGGATTTTTCGAAATTCCAGTTCCAAGGGGGTGAAACCACCCCTCAAATATTACAATATTTTTTATTTAAAAAACGGTCAAGTTTCCGAAAAAACGCTTAAACACGTATATTTTATTTTGTTTTATACATATTGTTACGTTTTTTCGTCGGTTCCGTGTGAATAGAAATTTACAATTTATTTAAAGACTATTTATTTAACACTAATTAACAAAAACAATAACGATAAAAGACTTAAAGAACTATTTACAAACGATTTATAACTAAGAATTTATTTTGAATTTTAGCGCGTCAACTACACTCGTCTATTTATAACTGCCCTCTTTAGGCCACAGCCGCTCGCTTTTATACCTACAGCTAAAGGTCTCTAGAATAGTCCATAGATCGTTAGGTGCATAGAGAAGGTTTCGATTGTTCTCGTATGTACTACTCCATTCCAGTAGAACTCGATGCTTCTCGAATCTTCGAATGAATTATTACGGTGTCTATTCTTTAATGCGATGTTAAGGTCATTCGAGGGCGGGCTATATAGTTAGGTTAGGTCAAGTCCACACCGGTCTGCAACAATATTTTAAGATTTTTTAAAAATGTTTTTCGAAAAATCTGGTCATTGATTAATCACGATCCTGTTTAAAGCACTTGACGCAAAAAGCTGAATTTTGGAAAACGGATTGACTTTAGTGGAGGATAGTTTTCACTGCTTCCAAAAAGGCTTGGACGAGAAGCTTCTATGCCTACCGGGTTATGATGGATGCACTGTTTAATTTTGAATATTTATTTAGTGGACTGTATTAGGTTATAATTATTACAAGGCCTTGTTGGCAAAAGGTTTTTTTACATTTATTTCAAAGAGTATCTTACAACAGATAATTTTGACAAGTTATTTTACAAATTATTATTTTGTTTTTCGTTGTCGAGGAGATCAAACATTACATTTTAAAAACATCTTTACCGATCGATAATCTTGATTGACAGGAAAAGAAAATACCTTTTATCGACCGATATAGATTTTAACAAACATTATAGGTAACAGATGTCGCCATCGCTTGATACATGACACAATATAGACAAATCAATTTACAAATAGTACAGGGGGTAGTAGTGGGCAGGTGTAAACAAAAATGGATACAAATAAAACTGTTCATTTAGGGTGCAGAGGTTCCATAAGAAGGGATTTTTCGAAATTCGATTTCTAAAAGGGTGAAACCACCCCTCAAATATTAGAATATTTTTTATTTAAAAACCGCTGAGTTTTTCGGAAAAACCCTTAAACACTTATATTTTATTTTGTTGTTTTACATACGTTTAAATATTTTTTAAAAATTTACAGAGGGTGTTATATGTCAATCAATCCTAATTTTTATCATATACAAACATACCAAATTTCGTTTTTTGATCTGAAAAAAAAATAAAAAAGTTATAGGGGTGAGCCACTTTCTGGGCACACCCGGTATACTTAATAATAAAATTTCTGTCAATAGGGTGTTGCAGCACAGTTTTATTTCCTTTTATTTTTAACAGCGAATTCAAAATGCCCAGTACCAACAAGTGTAAAAAACTGTTAATGAAGATCTATTAAAGCCTTCGTTAAGAAATAGTATGTCTTGGAACGTCAATATTGCAAAATGGTTTAAGAATATGAATATGAGGTCTACACAAATTACGCTATATTTAGCATTATATTTTATTTTTTGCTGAGTTTAGATTCAAAACTAAAATTTTTGTCAATCGGCTGTTAGAGCACATGTATTGACTAAAATTTTATCTATTTAAAAAACTGTTGGTAACACAGACTTAAAATAAAATATAGACTGAGCATCTCATTCATAAATAGCTGGAAGATGCGGTCAGACAATGTCTTGTTATTGTTTTAGGTTATAACGAGTGCGACACGAGCGATAGATAGGTTGTCTCTGTCGTAACGGTCGTTCCCTGACGACTCGCAACGAGAAACGCAACACTGCCTTTCGTTTCTCAAGTACACCTGAACTCTCCGTATCATAGCCGGGTAATTTTTTCATTTTAATGAAGCTATAATTAAATTAAAAATATATCGTATTTAAACTTTTTTATATTTTATTAAGATTTAGGAGAGTTTTTTTTAAATAAAAGTTTAGAAAAAACGTCTTAGAGTCCAAAAAGGATAAAAATAATAAAATACATGTTATAGAAGAAATTTTATAATCGAAATTACGTAATTTTTGAAATTATTAAAAAAATATTAATTTTAGTCAAACATTTACAACCCCTAATAAAAAAGGACCTATTCTACAGATATAATAGAATCGACGACAGATAGAAAAAAAATTATGATTGTTGTAATTTTTTTTTTCTGGTTAAGTGATGTTTTATTTATGTAAATTAGAGAAAACATAAATCTGTTCCATTAAAAGAAGGAAGGTGATAGGAAGTAGATGAAATGAAAAACTACATTTATTTAACTCGGTACTGTCTTTATTATACCGGGTGCGTCCCAAAAGTGGCTCATCCCCATAATTTTTTTATTTTTTCAAATAAAAAAACAAGATTTAGTATGCTAGTATATGACATAAATTAGGATTGATTGATGCATTCAATTATTTTTGTTCACTTCCTGTTTCACCGGAAATGACTATAACTTTTAATTTTTAAATGGCACCCTCGGTATATTTCCTTGAACAAGAAGACTAAGGAAGGAGCATATCAAAAATCTTAGGTACACCGCGATAGGCCTCAAATATGGCCAACTTAAATTCCGGTTTATCAGTGTCGTTCTAATTTTATTTAAAAAATGTAAAACTATGATGTAGGGTAGACCTGGGGTAGACTCAATAAGTTGTTGTTTTATTTTACGATGTGAATAAATGTTGGTAGTTATTAAAATTGTTATAAAAATATATAATTCTAATAAAAATATATAAGTTATAATAAGTATTTATTAACACAAACATCCGATACGCTACTGAAGCAGGTAAGTCAAATTAACGTATCTAAATTCTTTGACATCTAATCTTTGACAAGTAATAAATAAAAGCTAAAATGCAAGAAAAATATATAATTTAGTTTAGAATTTAAGTGAATTTCATAAATTTCTTTTTAAATAGTATCCGACTTATAATTTAGTAGTATAAGGACTATTTAATACATCTATGGAATATTGAAACCTACTTTATTAAAATGTAGTATATATACATATATCTCAATATATGTGTATAAGAAGAAAAAAATATTGATAATATTAAAGACGTGACAACATACGCTGGATGAGGAAGGCTCGGTCGACTGTACCCAGAAGTAAACATGTGTATAAAAAAGATTGTTTGACCGCGTTAAGATGTAAATAGTGTAGTCTATATTTTATTTTAAGTCTATGGTTGGTAATTAAAACTTCGGTTAAACAAGTACTCAAAGTCCTTGGGAGAGTAATATTGCACAATTGAAGGGGTGGTTGCAATAACCAGACAGTGCCACTTTTAACGAAAATGGGATTTTTACTGAATTGTCTTTTAACAAATAGTGCAATCGTTTCCTGCAACAATCAGATAACTCCATTTAACAGTCAGTAAATGACAACGTTATTTGAAGCTAACTTGCTGTCGGTTTGCAGCAAAAACCAGGGTAGCTCCTGGGAGCTGTTTACAGCAAGCAAAATTCCTTAAAATGAAGCTGCCTGGTTATTGCAGCCACCCCTTCAATTGTTTAAGAATATGGCTATCATATCAAGAAAAATTATGCATAACTTTTCTAGATATGATAGACATATTCTTAAACAATTGTGCTATAATTAGTATTATATTTTGCTGAGATTTATTTTTTAGTTTTTATATTTTGCTATTATCGATATTATTAAAGTTTTGAAAACAAGACTGAAGAAATATAGAATAAAATTCTCAAAACATATTTTGTAGAGATCAAATTAATTAAAATATGTGGAAACATACATGTTACGCAACCCTAAAAGGCTAATTTTAATGCAAAAGCACAAATACAAAAGAATTATGGTATGTTCAACTAAGTGAAGAAAATTTTAAAAATATACAATCTTATGTAAACATCAAATAGGATTTATTTTTAATAATTTGTAATGAATATAAAAATTATAAATTAACCAAAAAATCACAACTTTGAAATAAATATAAATAAGCAATATAATTTTTGTCTACATACATTTAATAATATAAAATGGATATATGTATATTTATTTAAAAATGATCTGATTCTAACTATAAATTCGTTTAGAGGATATTGTCAATAATCAACGTTCAATACATTTTCGTATTGAAAATATACTACTCCTATAAGCCTGGCAATTTATAAATACATATATAATTTAATTCAGGTACACTAATCACACTTTAATTGGGTAGTACAACTTAACAAGTATAGCTAGAGACGCGAGAAATATAAAATAACACGCGACCGGTGCTATCCCCAAGTCTCTTCCTATATTTGTACAACTGTAGATTAAAGTTTGTATTATTCATCATTCGAGTTTGTTAACTAAACTACACAAAATATTAAGCACATACTAAGTGGTCGTTCACTGATCGAAACCCAGCGTTATTTGTTTTGAGAATTTCATAACTCAGTAGCTCGGTTGTTCCCAAAATGCATATCGAAATAAAATATAAGATTATTTATAACAAAACTAAACATTTTTACAGAAAAAGATAACATAATAAT